TCTAAAAACCAATGGAAAAAATGTCCTCAGGTGAGGATTAACAGAACAACAAAAAGGAATTTGTTTATGCTTAATTTGTTTTTCTAACAGTTTTTCATAATTGATTTTAAAATTATTTTAGGAGTTCCTTTAATTGTGACATATTTCTATTTATACAAGTATTTTTCTGAGAATTTGTTCTTTTCAAGAATCTGCTTTAAAGCTTGGTAAATGTAGTGTAATAATACACATAGTTTATCTCTTTTTTTCTTGAATGAATAGTACAATATTTTCGCCCTGGCCCATGTGGCTCAGTTGGTTGTAGTGTTGTCCTGTACACCAAAAGGTTACAAGTTTGATTCCTGGTCATGGTACATACCCAGGTTTTGGGTTTGATCCCCAGTCAGCCTGTGGGAGGCAACCGATTGATGTCTCTCTCTCACATTGATGTTTCTCTCTCTCTCTTAATCTCTTTCTCTGTCTCTCTAAAAATCAATTTTAAAAAATTAAGAAAAAATTAATAAAGCATGTCCTCAGGTGAGGATTAAAAAAAAAATAGTACAGCCTAGCTGGGCGTGGCTCAGTGGTTGCGCATCAACCTAGGATCCGGAGATCTCGGTTCGATTCCCAGTCAGGGCACATGCCCGGGTTGCGGGCTTAATCCCCAGTCGGGGGGCGTGCAGGAGGCAGCCAATCAATAACTCTCTCATCATTGATGTTTTTCTCTCTCTCTTTCCCTCCCTCCCTTCCATTCTNTCTCTCTCCCTCTCTCCCTCTTCCCCTCCCCCCCTCTCCCCCTCTCCCTTTCTCTCTCTGAAATCAATAAAGATATATTTTTTAAAAAATAGTACAATATTTTCAGTGAGATTTTTACTTTTTTGAGATTATATAGACTTTTTTGTTGTTGCTCTACTCTGATGGAGGTAAGAAATAAAAACACAACTTTTTCCAAGTTACAATTTGTGCACAGTTTATATTTAAACATATAGGGATACCCCTGGCCGGTTTGGCTCAGTGGTGTCGGCCCACAGACTGAAGAGTCCTGGGTTCTATGTTGGCCGAGGGCACATACCTCGGTTGCAGGTTCGATCCCCGGGTCTGGTCGGGGTGAGTGTGGGAGGCAACCAATCCATGTGTCTCTCTCATATTGGTGTCCCCCCCCCACACACACTCTCTGAAAAGCAATGGAAAAAATATCCTTGGGTGAGGATTAAAAAATAAAAATGAAAAATAATAAAATATAGGGACAAGCAGATTTTAAAAACCTAATCTCATTCTTGTATTTAAGGAAGGGGGTGGAGTTTTTCCTCACTTTGGACTCAGTGCTTTTGGAAACACTAGCATAAGAAGAAAGTTATTTCTTTATCATTGGTGTCTAGGTTGTGGATATTAGCTTTATGTAAAATCCACCATGGAAGAAATGAAGAAAACATCTTATCTGACATTGATGAACAGCTAGATGGAACCAAACCACCCAGGATCTTACCCACTTTTCATGGCACATTGATTAGACTTGAGTATCAGAGATTCATATGGGAATAATCACAAATTTATCCTTTACTGTCGAAGTGATTTTTAAAGAGCCTTGTGCATGTTTACAAGTGCTGTATACCTTTAGGCACTTAAACCTGAAAAGGCCTAGAGATTATAGAGACCCACCCATCATTTTATAAATGAAAATGAAAACAGAATGATAGGACTAGATAAGACATCACTTAATAATTGTCTCTGGGTAAGACTAGAGGGTGGGAGATGGGGAATCTAATTGTCTTACAAAATTTTTATAACTTTGCACATGAAAGGATGTTTTTTCTTTATAAATATAAGTATTGCAGTGTCTTCTGCTGGATACTAGAAGCAATGCTCAGGCCTTAAGTACTGTATGTGAACCTCCCTTAGACTTTTCAGAGACTGTTTTCATTAATTGTGTTTTTTTCTTCTGTTCAGTGTTTACAGGCATTGGAGTTTTTGCATGCTAATCAAGTGATCCACAGAGACATCAAAAGTGACAATGTGCTTTTGGGGATGGAAGGATCAGTTAAACTTAGTGAGTAACAAATGGAGAAATAGCATTTATTTGTTATTTATTATAATTTTCTCCCTTTTGTTTAAGTAAAAACCTCTTATGCTAATAATATTTTTATGACCATATATAGAGAGGGAGGGAGAATAGTGCTAAAGAATATGGACTCTCAACTGGACACCTTTGTTTAAATAGCAGATCTGCTATACTTGCTGAATAATTTTAGATGAGTTACTTAATTTCTTTGTGTTTATTTTCCGATTTGTATGATATCAAAAATTATAGTATTTATCTCAATTCTTCTGAGGATTAAAAATCTAAAATGCTGAGGAACAGTGCCTAGGACTGCCATAACGTTATTGCTATCTTCCAAAGATAAACTTGAATTTGTCCCTGCTATCTTTTAGAGTAAATTTTTGTCATGCTGTTCAGCTTTCATTGGATTTGGCAGTGTGGCCTAATCATGCAAAAGCTATATGACCCTGACCTCGGAAATGATTAAAAATAGAAAGAAAAAAAACCCTTATAAACCTCATTTCATAATTATTTTCTGTATCAGACATGGTAGAATCGTGGGGGATAAGAAAGTCATAGGCTTTCTTTCCTCTGCTAGCTAATGTCTCAGTTCCAACCTCGCCCTCTATAGGATTTAAGAACTTCTTTTAAAAAAACAATACAAAAAAACTTCTGCTGAGGTTTCTCCAACTATGTAAAACTCAAGGCATTTCTTAGATTAAGAAACCAAAAACTTTTTCTTCTGTTCTGCTGGAGTTTTGCTCCTTTTTCAACATCTCCTTAAGATACATTCTCCAGAAGTTATTCAACCACGAGAAAAGGGGTCTAGTTTCTATCAGATGGTCAAAATATAGAATTGCTAATCTTAATCTTAGTAGGCAAGTTAAAAATGGACAGTTTCATACATTTTTGGTGAATACACATGTAAACAGAATTAGACTTTTTTGGATAATATTTAGTTCTGACTCTTCTGCTTACTAGATGAATGATCTTGGGTAAGTTATCTAAAAATATATGTGCCTAAGTTTCCCCATTTGTAAAATGGGAATAATAATAATGTACCTATCTAATAGAGTTATCTTGAGGATTAGATAGGTTAATTCTTATAAGGTACTAGGAACAGTACCTGGTTCTTATAAGCTCTCACTTTAGTTATAAATATGATTTGATTTAACAATTGTTCTTTTAGGATTGACTCCTATAAAATTACTAAGCATATGCACATGTCCAAAGTAGTTCCCTGCAGCACTGTAAGCAAAAACCAAAATATGTTAAACGTCTAGCAGTTCTGGAATGGTTAAATATGTTATGATAGTTTTACATTCTGTTTTTGTTTTTTTATATTCTTTAACATTGTGTAGTTAAAATAATGAGGTAGTTCAATGTATTAATAATGGAAAGATCTCTGAAAGTAGTTTTTAAAAACGGTTTACGCAATATCTTAGATAGAATGAATCAGGCGGTTTGTAGATATTATTTGTATGTATGTAAATGCATAACAAAAAGTCTAAAGCTTACAAACATAAATGTTAATAGTAGTTACATATGGAACAGAATGGATTTAACAGTGGAAGGTAGGAAAAAACTCTAGATTCTCATCCTGACTTTGCCACTAAATTAAAAGTACTAAACTAGGCATTCTGCTCCTCAGTTATTATAAAATGACATGGCTGGAGTAAGCTGGTGAACACCTTGTAGGTACAGTTGTAGGTAAATGAGCTCTTTTTCTAGACTCTCCTAAGTCTGATGTTTAGTCATTATCTTCTGTTTATTTTTATCAAAAGTAGTTACCATTTGTTGACCTTTGCCTGATTCACAGCGTTTAGTTTTGGTGTTGATCTTTGGTAACTTTTTCTTCTATACCTTTTTCAACTTTATTAAAATCTTTAGGATAGAATTAAATTTTTTATTGAATTTATTGAGGTGACATTGGTTAAAGTTATATAGGTTTCAGGGGTACAGTTCTATAATACATCATCTGTCTATTGTAAATTTGTGTGTTCACCACCCCAAGTCAAGTCTCCTTTCATCACCATTTACCCTTCTATGTCCCCCCACCCCCTTTTCCCTCTAGTTAGAATTAATAATTTAGAATAAAAGACCTCCTGATAATTTGCCCTCTGCTTGTTGGAAATAAAAGCAAAAAAAAGTGAGAGTATGTAACATCAAAATATTTGTAAACCCATTCTGGTTGACTATTAGTACAATCTTAATAGACAAGTGGCTGAGTAGTTGAATGTAATTAAGTCATCTAAAGTGAACTCTTAGATAAAAGAGTTCCACGGACACCGTTAACTCTAGATGTTTTTTGTTTTGTTTTATAGCTGACTTTGGTTTCTGTGCCCAGATCACCCCTGAGCAGAGCAAGCGAAGTACCATGGTTGGCACGCCATACTGGATGGCACCGGAGGTGGTTACACGGAAAGCTTATGGCCCTAAGGTGGACATATGGTCTCTGGGTATCATGGCTATTGAGATGGTAGAAGGAGAGCCTCCATACCTCAATGAAAATCCCTTGAGGGTAAGACAGACACCAGCCTTATTTTAAGAAAAATACTTTTCTTTAAAACATTTATGTTATACCTGCTTGGGCCAGGCACTGGCCAAGAATTTAGGATGCAAAGTTGATAAAACCTAGTTGTTTCCTTTACTCTGCATCTAAAAATCGTTTACTTATGGGTTGAGTTGAATGCGTTAGGTAGAGAGTTTGTAGATTTTTAGTAAGTTGAATGCTTTCTAATTTTGCACCTAAGTAAGAATGTCCTCACTTTTCTACAGAGTTAAGAGTCCCTAGAGATACCCTTCAGGTTATCAACTTTGAACCTTGGCCTCTGGTACCCCTAGGTACAGAGAAGAGGAAAGCAAGAATCACATCTGTGAGAAAGCTGTGTAGATGGCAATGTTAAAGCCCGTATTCAAACAAAAGAGTGAGGGCCCTGATATACAGATGAGGTCAGTAGACTTTAAACAAATAAATATTCAGCAGCTGAGGGTGGAGAGTTTCGGGATTCCTCCTTTCCTCCCTCCCTGCTTCCCTCCCTTGCTCCTTTCCTTCCTGCCTTTGATTCTTTATCTTTTTTCTTCTACTTCTACTTGTAAATTACCATATATGGCTCAATATCATACCACTTCACACCTACAAGAATGACTATAATAAAAAAGATGAACAATAATAAGTGTTGGTAAGAATGTGGAGAAATTGGAACCCTCATACTTTGTTAGTGGAAAGGTAAAATGGTGCATGTAGCATTTTGGAAAACGATTTGATAGTTCCTCTAAAACTTAATATTGAGTTAGCATATAACTTAGCAATTCAAATGCTAGGTATATACCCAAGAGAATTAAAAGCATACATCCACATAAAAACTTGTACACAAATGTTGATAACAGCATTCATAAGAGCCAGAAGGTAGAAACAGCCCAAATGTCTATCACCTGATGAATGAATAAACAAAAGTGGTATATTCATACAATGGAGTATTTTTTACCCATAATAAAGGAATGAATAGATACATATAATATAGATACATATAATATTGAACCTTGAAAGCATTATGCTAAGTGAAAGAAGTCAAACACAAAAGATCACATATTACAGGATTCCATTTACATTCGATTCTTATTTGTGGTAGTTAGGTTCTGTAAAGCCTCAAATACTTGTGAATGCTGAACCATTGCTTCCAGGGGAAGTAAAGGGTTAGGTTCCTGCAAGCTTCTGATTACATTTTTGTCAGCTGATTGATATACGACCTTGCTTTCTGTGTGTTTCAGTTGGTTGGGAGTCATCCTGTGCACCGGGAGGTTGCCCGTTCAGTTCCTGGACAGGGCCACATGCCTGGGTTGTGGGCTCAATCCACAGTGGGGTGTGCACAGGAGGCAGCCAGTCGATGTTGTACTCTCACATCGATGTTTTTCTCTCTTTCCCTCTCCCTTCCCCTCTCTCTCTAAAAAACATCAATAGTTTGTGTGTTTGTTTAAAAAAAAAAAAAAAAAAAGGACACCCTTGCTGGTTTGGCTCAGTGGTTAGAGCATCTGCCCCAAAACTGAAGAATCCCAGGTTTGATTCCGGCCAAGGGCATGTACCTCATTTGCAGGCTCAGTCCTGGCCCCGGTCAGCACTCAAGTGGGAGGCAGCCAATCAATGAGTCTCTCTCATATGGGTGTTTCTGTCTCCCTTCCCCCCTCCACTCTCTGAAAAGCAATGGAAAAATATCCTCGGGTGAGAATTTAAAAAAAAGAGAAAAGGACACTATTTAACATATATTGTTGAGTAGCATTGAACTCACAGCCAGTAGCACTATAACTCATGCCTGAATGAAGCTTATCAAAAAGTGTATATTTTCCATGGGTCACATCACAACCTTCTTGCACTTAGGAACACTAGCCAGCTCTTCAGCACTATGCTTTTCACCTCTCTGCACATATCCACGAATGACCACAAAAGCACTGAGAGTATTGATTTTGGAGTTAACATAAATTTTAGTGAGTAGGTAAATTCACGTGTGAAATCAGCACATAATGAGGATTGAATCCATACATTTTATAGATTTCTGTAGAGCTGAGATTAGTGGTTTCTGGGGCTGAGTAGAGGAGGGAATGGGGAATAACTAACAATTCACATGGATATTCTTTCTGGAGGGATAAAAATGTTATGAAATTAGACAGTGGTGATGGTTGTACAACCTTGTGAATATACTAAAACACTGAATTTTACACTTAAGGGTGATTTTTAAATTGCTATATATGACTACAAACTTACTGCCAGAAATTTAAAAAATTGCCCCCCCCCCAAAAAAAAGTTGGACATGGTATAAAATGGGCTCCAGAGGCCAAGGTAATGTGTAAGAGGTACCCTGTGTGGATGGCATGGATTTTATTTCTATTTTTCCTGAATGATTTTCATCTTCTTGCAAAGATTCCAGTTCAAGTGAGCAATAAAGGTACTTTTATAGTAGTAATATTTTTAAAACACTTTTTAGAACAATTTTTAAAACCTTCTAATTTTATTGATTTGTTCAGTAAGTATTGATTCAAGTATTGGCTCTGTTTGGCACTGTTCAAGGCACTGTCTAAAAGAACAAACAAAATTTCTGTCCTCATAGAAGGAGGAGAGAAACAATAAGAATAATATGTAATATATTAAATGGTGGTGGACTCTTAAGTACTGGGACTAGTAGGCAAGGAGTCAGGAGTGTTCATTTTCAAAGGAGTGCTTTGGGAAGAGCTTTACTGGGTTGACATTTGATCAGGAGAGGTAAGAAAGTGACGATACTCAGTTACCTAAGGGAAGAACATCCTGATCAGAAGGAACAGCACATGCAAAGGCCGTAAAGCAGGAGCATTCTTATTGTATTGAAAGTTCATTGAGGATTCCAGTAGAGTTAGCATTCATTGAACACAGAGCAGGAGAAAAAAAGGTAGACAGTGAAGAAATGAGGCCAGACTATGTTGTGCCTTATTAGGCCTTTGTAAGGATTCTGGCTTCTACACAGGTAAGATGGGGAAACAATTGGACAGTGTTGAGCAGAGAAGTGAAATGGTCTTACTTACATTTTAACAGAATCAATCTGGTTACTTTTTTGAAAAGAGACTCTCAAGGGAGGCAAAGGCAGACACAGAAAGACCAGTTGGGAGGCTGTTGCAGTAATCAAGGCAAGAAATGATGGTAGTTTAGGATGTTATCAGTGGAAGTGTGAAAAGGTAGTAGATTTCTGGATGTATTTTAAATGGAGAGCATATGTGAGTAAGAGGGAGAGATGACCTCAAGAGTTGGGACTAAGCAACTGAAATGATGAAGTTGAAGTTCACTTTAACTGAATGGAAAGCGTGCAGGTAGGGTGTGTG